AGAAGTTATTGAGGTAAGAAACTACACCATAGCGGACAACAGGCGTATTTATCACGATTGCATTATGGTCGCTATTATTAGGCAAGCTCTATTTCGTTATTGTGAAGTCGCAGTGACGTAATTTTTGGATGACGAAGTCAGGTGAGGGTCAGGAATATATATGCAAAATTGTTACGCTAAGATAAGTATAAGTTATTGAGGTAAGAAACTACATCCATAGGTGGCATTACTAGTAATCGTCGCTATTATTGGCAAGCTCTATTTCGTTATTGTGACGTTGCAGTGACGTAATTTTTGGATGACGAAGTCAGGTGAAGGTCAGGAATATTATATGCAATAATTGTTACGCTAAGTTAACTAGAAGTTATTGAGGTAAGAAACTACATCCATAGCGGACACACAGGCGTATTTATCACGATTGCATTATGGTCGCTATTATTAGGCAAGCTCTATTTCGTTATTGTGAATCGCATTGACGTAATTTTTGGATGACGAAGTCAGGTGAGGGTCAGGAATATTATATGCAAAATTGTTACGCTAAGATAAGTATAAGTTATTGAGGTAAGAAACTACATCCATAGGTGGCATTACTAGTAATCGTCGCTATTATTGGCAAGCTCTATTTCGTTATTGTGACGTTGCAGTGACGTAATTTTTGGATGACGAAGTCAGGTGAGGGTCAGGAATATATATGCAAAAATTGTTACGCTAAGTAACTAGAAGTTATTGAGGTAAGAAACTACACCATAGCGGAACAACAGGCGTATTTATCACGATTGCATTATGGTCGCTATTATTAGGCAAGCTCTATTTCGTTATTGTGAAGTCGCATGACGTAATTTTTGGATGACGAAGTCAGGTGAGGGTCAGGAATATTATATGCAAAAATTGTTACGCTAAGATAAGTATAAGTTATTGAGGTAAGAAACTACATCATAGGTGGCATTACTAGTAATCGTCGCTATTATTGGCAAGCTCTATTTCGTTATTGTGACGTTGCAGTGACGTAATTTTTGGATGACGAAGTCAGGTGAGGGTCAGGAATATATATACAAAAATTGTTACGCTAAGCCTAATAGAAGTATTGAGGTATGAAACTACACCATAGCGGACAGACAGGCGTATTTATCACGATTGCATTATGGTCGCTATTATTAGGCAAGCTCTATTTCGTTATTGTGAAGTCGCAGTGACATAATTTTTGGATGACGAAGTCAGGTGAGGGTCAGGAATATTATATGCAAAAATTGTTACGCTAAGATAATTAAAAGTTATTGAGGTAAGAAACTACATCCATAGGTGGCATTACCAGTAATCGTCGCTATTATTAGGCAAGCTCTATTTCGTTATTGTGACGTCGTATTGACGTAATTTTTTGATGATTAAATCAGGTGAGGGTCAGGAATATTACGTGCAAAAATTGTTACGCTAAGTTAACTAGAAGTTATTGAGGTACGAAACTACACCCAATACCGGACACACAGGCGTATTTATCACGATTGCATTATGGTCGCTATTATTGGGCAAGCTCGATTTCGTTATTGTGACATCGCATTGACGTAATTTTTGGATGACGAAGTCAGGTGAGGGTCAGGAATGATATATGCAAAATTGTTACGCTAAGATAAGTATAAGTTATCGAGGTAAGAAACTACATCCATTGCGCTAAGGCAAATTAATATGTCGGTTTCTGCTTGTCTAAAGCCTTGCATAGAGTGAAAGCGTTCCACGTCCTATTAATAAAATGTGGCCCAATACATGATCAGTCTCTGGATATTAAATAACAAGTCTTTATGTCTGCGGCACCTAACCTCAATCATTGCGTGAATTAAATGTTCTTTCTGTTTGTCTAAAGCCTAGCTCAGAGCGGTATCGTATATCACCCTATTAATAGATCGTAGCACAATACATGAGCTATTGCTGGACATAAAATAATAAGTCTTTATGTGTGTGGTACCCAACTTCAACCATTGCGTAAAATAACATGTATTTTCTGCTTGTCTAAAGCCTTGGTTAGAGTTGTATCGTATAACGCTCTATTTTAGATTGTAGCACGATACATGAGCTATTGCTGGACAGAAATTGGTCAGAATGGGATATCGTGAACGTTCCTTGGCGACAATTTAGTCGCTTGTGATTCTTGTTTATTTTGTGCTCTGTACAACGACCCCGATGAGAGAGAGGTCGCTGACGTATTGAATTTGTTGACATACTCGTAGGCGCCATTACGGGTGACCGTCGCTATACTTTGGCAAGCTGTATTTCGGTATTGTGACGTCGCAGTGACGTAATTTTTGAATGACGTCTTCAGGTAGGGGTCAGGAATCATATATCCAAAAATTGTTACGCCACGCCCACTAGAAGTTATTCAGGTAAGAAAGTACATGAGACCCAAGAAACTGTGTGTCATTTATTTTTAGAATGTGACTGGTCTAGTGATTTTTGGCAATGGTGTTGCATAGATATTAATCAAAATACTATTATAGCAAACGATTCGGAATGCAAATCAAAATTAATCACAATATTATACGGAAAATCAACAATTTGGGAATATCGAAATTCAGTAAAATATGATGAAATAGATAAAATGAAAAGTAGTATGCAGTCAATTTTCAAGTGTAAACTGGTAGGGATTTTAAATTTACTAAAAGCAAGCGAAAGAAATGAATTATTGTTATATGAGCACATGGATGATCTTTTACATAGGTCAATCATGATGTAAGTTTATATGCAACACCATACTCTGAAAATTATTGAAAGTATGTTATTTGTACATCATTTTCATAAGAGGAAGATTTATCGACTATGAACATAGATGGCGAATGGGAAAAACCCAATATGAAAAGCGTGGATTTTTCCATATTCTCTGTCTAATTTTTGTATTCTTGTATTTTTCATGCTAACTAAAAAATTAAAATAAAAACTGATTACCTGTAAATTAAAATTATATTCAAATAACTGCTGAGTGGATTACATGTGGATTAACTCAACTTTTTTGGACATATATTGGATTATATTAAATTAATGACATCATGGTAATGGTATGAATTTTGTCTTTATTTTGAATTTTACTATTCATATGTATTGGGGGAAATGGGATTAAATTAAAAATGATAAACAAAAACATGGAAACAAAAAAATATCTATTTATATATTTATAATAAAATGATTGATACCAAAATATCAATACGAAAATTCTGTTGCATTGGAATTTATTGGCACGAAAAAAAAAAAAAAAAGACAAAATTAAAATAAAAAAAAAGATTGGTATGCCGGCTTTGGGTCTTCATTCGTTGGACAGATTATGAGATTTTAGAATATTTAATACATATTTACGCGTAGGCATGATCAAATATTAAGAGAAGGTCAGCTTACCTAACATGCAAAAGTTGAATCACGATAGATGCCACTTGATTTCTCAGTACAAATGCTTTCAAAGGCAAGTCATTTTCCATATCGTACCTAATTGGTTATGGTACCGTATTTTAGATAGACATAATTTTAATATTATCTCGGGGAGATAAAATACATTAGGATGGCTTATTCTTACGGCATACCACGGACTTTAATCAATTAGGATAGGATTTACATATTTATCCCAGGGTAGAGCAAAGCTGATAAGGCGGCTTAAGCATATGGCGAACTACGGCCTCTCGTCCGGTTACCGGTACCATTCCATGTCGGGTATGCTCACTTTGCTAAGTGTCAGGAATCCGCTTTTACCATTATTCCTTTTTTCATCATTTGCTGGTGTGCATTATGGAATTTTTTTTGCTAGAGAATTACTGTGGTCTTCACCACTGTAGAGTGGTTCATGGACTAGTAATCAAACGAGAGTTTGTGTTATGCCATATGAAAGGTCTTAGCAACTTTTCCTTTCCTCTGGATAAATATGAATACCCCATTCAACATAGAAATGTGAATGCTCATAAATTATACTTCACTATAGACCTGACATGGGCAAACCACGACCCGCTGCCCAAATTAGTTCATTGGGTACTTCAATCTGGCCCGTCTGATGCTGTCGTAACAAAACTCTAACAAAATTTTGATGTTTTAGCAAGAAATTAGCCGATAGACTGAAGTTGTTGAAATTGGATATTAAATTTTGTTTTGGCACGAGGCTCATTGTTTTCTGCTTTCACTTCTGTAACACTTTAAATATAGTTCATAAAACGTATCTTTTTACGCCACACTTACATGGCCCGCCAATAGGTGGGCAAAATTGTTGGCCCCCGGTCTAAAAACCTTGCCTTTCCCTGCTATAGACTCACACTCAGACCTTCAAGTCCTAGACAGTTTCATTATATAGTGATTTGCTCAAAAATTCCAGTTGAGTAAGTTTTGATGTAAGTTTTCAGGATTGTGGAAGAGTCATTTTGTGTTAATTCAAACAGGGTTTAAGGCAAGCAGACTTTGAAATTTATGAAGTTTGTAAGTTAGTGAATTTCAGTATAGGAAGATAGAAAAGATAAGCTGGTGGATGTTTGTCTATATCCTCTCTAAGATATAGTTTCCAACAAATTTCATATAAATATGGATATATATATATATATTCATATATTTTGAGAATTCCAAATTATAAAACTTGATGGAAATAATATAGTGACACTAAATATTCATTATTGAAAAGACATTGAATATCTTATCCATTTATAATAGCTTTTAGTATAATTTTTATATCTTTGATTAAATTCTATTGCAAATTGACTAATTGTGTAAATATTCAGTTTGTTGCTCAAGAGTGTTTGCCCTTTCTGCAGTGTGGCTTTTAATATTGTGGGTTGATGAAAACAGTGCAGGCAGTTAATTTAGAATATTTTATTTTATTTCAAAAATGAGCATGCCACCAAGTCAAGTTTGTACAAGCGGCCCACTGATATTTAGCAATAGCAAGGACCAAAATGTGTCATGGGTACTTGATTTTCTTCTGAAGTTATGCATCTTCTTGTTTGATTTATATATTCTTTGTTTTTTTCAGATTATACTTATACATTTTGCAGTTACTTAGTCTTCAGATTTTTCTATTTCAATATTACTCAAACATGGAAGTGGAACGAACAATCCCAATGGATAAGAATGCTCATGATGCTGAGTTATTAGAGAATTTGAACAGGTTTATAGTTTTATATTGTATTTCAAAGTTTTAATTAGGTTCAATCAATCAATTGTAAATTTCACTCTGTCCTTGGAGACCTAGGTTTGGTACAAGGGACGTGGAGTCGGGGGAAATTTGAACTAAACTTAGACGAGTGATTTAAAATAACATACCAGAATAAATTCTAGTGAGGCGTGGCAAAACAAAATTTGCATGTTTTATTCCTAACCTCCACCTGACTACGTCATCTAAAAATGATGTCACATTGACGTGATAAGGCCCTTCAAAATATACGGATGGTTGTCCAAAACGCCCAGTTACCCGAAGTTGAGCAAGCTATTTCTCTCGTTTTTTTATCGTAGCGATCCCGATATGAGAGAGATCGCTGACGTTAGTGAGTTTGTTATTGTCAGCGCTGATGCCATTTTGGGAGATTGTAGCTATACTTTGACAAGCTTTATGACGTGATTGTGATGTCATAGTGATTTTGGGATGACTCAGTCAGGTGGGGGTCAGGAAACACATATGCCAAAATGGTTTTGACAGCCCTTTAGCAGGGGCGGACACCCGGGGGGGCGAGGAGGGGCGGTCGCCCCCCCAATAATTTCGCAAAAAAATTTAATACATGTTGTTTCCGCCCTACAAAATTATCATTTCCGAAAAGTGCGATAGTCAAGCGCCATTAAACGGTTAATAGTTACCGATATTATAACTGTTTTCTTACAATAATGCGCCTTCGGAGCACCTCACATTTTCGTGAAACATGCGCGCCCGCACGGGTAATACTCCGTCTTCAAACGCACCGCCGATCACGCGCCACGGTTTTGCACAACTAACTCATTTTTGTACAATTTAATATGATTTTCTCATTGTCAAAATCTTTCAATAGTGTTATTGTTGGCACTTGCGAAAGAAATGAAAGAGGCAAACTGTGTTTCATTACAACAATTAATTATTATCGCTAAAAAATTAACTAGATCTAAAGTTGTTTTAAACAATTTTCACCGCGGGACGTATCTTTTTACGTTATGGATTTCGTGCAAGGCCCAGCATAATTTGCGGGCAAAGATCAAAGCATTTACTTTGTCGAAAAGTTGAAAAGCGGCAATATAAAATACTAAAAATAAAACTGTAAACAATATAAGTTTTGAGGCCCGCGACAGTCTAAAAACGCTTTTCTAGGCATCGAAAATCGCAAAATTTCGTGTGCCAACGGCACAAATTATGTTTGCTTGACCTTTAAAAATATTTCGTTACTAAAATCGAAACACGGTCAATTGTGAGCGGGATTTGCCTTTTTATCCATTACTTTAAAATTGACGTCGAAAATTTTCGTGTTAACATTAAACAAAGCTGAGAACGCGACTTTTCCACGGTTTGTGATGATATATAAGATAATTAAAGTATATTCGATCACTTTTTGTATTTATTTATGTATTTTTATTGTACTGAAATAACTTTTACTACGTGAGAATTGACAGAAAATTTACGGATTTTTCGAAAGGTTTTTTCCGTCGTGTTTTAGAGTGGCCCTTGTTTTGTCGACTCAACCGCAGTTTAAATTGAAGACAATTAAATTAATAAATCAAGACATTTTGAATATGCCCGTATCGGTCTTTGATTGATTACTTTGCACAAGTGAAAAATCATTTTTCGTTGATGAAGTCGGCTCTATTAACAAGTGGCGTAATCGCGGCGACTGTTCCGCGTGGATTTCGAGGCGGTGTATTTGTATTTTTGATTTACTAGTATACCTTATAATTATTTTCATTGTATGAATTAAAATTGTACTATATCGGATTTTATATCAGATATCGAGATTTTTGTAACGACGATAACGAGTTCGGAAGATTGCAAAAATACGTATCAAAATTAAATACATCAGGCAGCTTATCTCATATTTTTATGTCCACATATCGCCGTGGTACTTTAAGTTTAGTAATATTTTTATTTTGACGTAAGAAGTCGCAACCGCGAGTTAGGTTGCACACAATTTAATATATAAGGACATTTTAGAATCTCGTGGCTGTCATGGATCGACAGAAAAATCATTATACGCTCAAATAGGCGGCTCTTTTATTGAGCGCGTAATCGCGGTGCTTGTTGCAGACGGCAGTGGGAAGTTCCGACTTTGACCCCGCCTTTTTTTTTAAATCCTGGCTGCGCGCCTGAACTTGTGCCTGTTTATTTTCGTATTAAATTATAAATAAAAACCCTGCAAAGTCATTGCGTGAATCCTGAATGTTATTTCGAGTTCAAATGATGATTTAATAAATCGGCAATAATGGCAATTCTACTAGTCAAATGATAATTCCTTGGTAAAATTTAGGAAAAAAATTCGCACAATAGCTTGTTACTTTGTTTTGCATTTCTAATTTCACGAAACGGCGTTAGTGCGCTTTATGCAGAACTAGGAATTGAAACAATAACCTAATACGACTCCTCAAATTTGTTATTTTCTGTATGTTAGCAAGAGCCGTGGGCTAATTCTCGCGGAATTCAAGAAATTGGTTCAGTGACGCGCAAGTTTCGTGTCCGAGCAAAGCAGCCTAGGTAATCGATATATGAGTAGCAAACTGACATGCTAATACTTAGAGAATGACATCGACAGGTTATTGTTACGTGACGATACACGGCGCGGTGTTTTTCGGTAGGCGATCCAAGTTCGCCCCCCCCAAAAATTATGGAAAGTGTCCGCCCCTGCCCTTTAGATAGAAGTACTTGTGGTACTAAGCTACACTAGACTCGTTTGACCTACCATCAAAGTGCCCAACTTCAGAAAAAATAACCTTATTTTTAAATGATAACTCGAGCTCAGCCATTTATTGCCCAAACACAACCAGAAATTGCTGAAGGGATTCATCGGGACATTTTACTATTGGAATAATTCAATTTTCTTGTCATTCATCATCATTTATTCCGCACTGCCCTAAGTTCGTACGACCGTTTATGTCACTGCACATGTCATGTCCACACCGGCATGTAAATACCAGGTGTTCAATCGACATCATAACATTTCTCGTCGGAAATAATTCTTTGAAACTTTCACATCGTTTACTGGGTTCTATTTCCTCATTTTTGTGAGTACTTTCATAATGTCAAATAAGGCTTATAAGACATTTGTCCTCACTAAATTTCACTAGTTTTCATAATCATGAAATTGGACTGGTGGGACCTAATCTCATTTATCTCCTATGCTGTATAATATTTTTTTAGAATGAGGGAGAACAAAATGTTCTGTGATTTTCTCATAAAAGCTGGATCTGAAGAAATTCCAGTTCATAAAAATGTAGTTTCAGCTGGATCAGATTATTTCAAGGCAATGCTGTCTCATGATGTAAGTATATGTATTTAGCCTAGGGTACAGCAAATTTTGATGTCAAAATAGTTTTGAATATTTTTATTTACAAAATTGTTATACTGAGCATATGTTAATGAAGCCCATACTAGTTCATTCAACTTTGTTTAACTGCAGAAAATAATTAGCATTTCAAACCTCGTTTCTGTAACTTCTCATTTAACAACACTATCGTAACAAAAATACTATAATGTGTATCAGTTCTTTGCTGTACATGACCCCAAATCAAAATACATTTGACATTTCATATCTAAATACTTACTTTTAGTGTACGGTAAAAGGGTTGTTCGGGAAATATGAAATATAATTGGATCCATCAACCAGAGATATTTTCTATTAGAACTGAACATGCATTACAATATGCTGTGAGTGGTGTCTCATCCTTCATTACAATGTAACATTCCTTCCACTTCTTCAATAGGGTTAATACAAAACTGATAAAAAGTTATTAAATCAAATTTGCAGATTCACCTGTAGCTGGTTTCCTCATTACGGGCTACCAAGCCTGGTTTAACCCATTGACTTGAATCTTTAATTTTCAACATTTTCCACGCTGTTACCGTCATCAGCTGTGACTCAAGCACAAAACACGGTATCAGGTCCATGTTTTATAAACTATAGGTCAGGGATGGCGGACCACTGACCCGCGGGTCACAAAGTGACCCATCGCAATATTTCGGTGACCCATCAAAGCACGAATTAAATGAAACATACCAACATATAAATGATAAAAATTGATATAACCGTGTTTAATTAAATTTAAAGTTTACCATAATATGTAATTTATTATATAAGATAACTATATAATGTACCATAATTTGGGCAGCCAGAACAGAGATGGCTCAAATTCGAATTGTAATTTCCGGGTCGTCTGCGCCCATGTACGCCGCTATGCAGCTATTGGCTGTGACATTGTTATGTCATAACGATACAATTGATCTGTTCGTTTCTCTCGTTCCCTTTCGGATATGCAAGACCAAAAGGCCCTGCGAACTGTCTTGGGGGGGGGGGGTCTGCCTTGGTATTCGAGAACTAAATGCTATTTTGCATTTCATTAGTTGCTCGCCTACAATGCCGTTAAGAAAACAAAATCGATTGGTCTTAAAATAAAAACCTAGAAGTAGCAATGGGGAAGTGTAAAAGCGACTTAATGTGGTTGAAAGCTGATCTAAAAATATAACACTATCAGATTGAAACTTCCTCTTAAACTTTTAGAAACCGTAAAATAATTTGCCGCATCATCATAAACGTTTTTTCGGTAATTCGTATGCGCGTTTTTCGTACACGAATTTCATAAAAATCGAGTGCTATAAAAAGTCTAGTAGTCAAGTTTCTTCTTTCTCAAACATCGAATAAATATTAGTGACCCACACTCTTCCGCTTTGTGATAAAAATATAAATTTTGACCCACTCATTGAAAAAGGTTCGCCATCCCTGCTATAGGTAAACCTACGGCTTTGCATTCGATCCGTATGTGCTATACTTGGATTCTATCTTATGCATCCTGAAAAACTCAGATTAATATCTTGCTATATACGGTAGCTGTCAATTAATCTGCAGTCACTTTGCTTCCAGTTCCTCAGTCGAGCAGTTGCCGTGGTTACCTCGCTCGACGGTGCTCGGAGTCTCTCTTTTGAATTAACGAGCATTGCATTTCTATTATATATGTATTAATCAGTGTGAATACTCTGTTTCTCCATCCACCCTGTAAATACTTTCCTTATATTATTCTACTCGTATATGTAAGTTTCATATTTTCAGTTTTGGTGGAAAAATAAATTACTGATTAAATAAATTACTGATTAACCGTTCGGATTTCAGTGAGTTTGAAATAATTGCTACTGCTCATTGTCTTATCAGTAGCATGTCAATGTCTAAGCATTTGCCGCCATATAAAAATTTATCTAAATTATTTAATTTCTGGAAATCTATAAAACTTTCCTGATTTTATAATAGTTTGTTTGTTTCACTTCTCAGACAAAAGAAAGCCAGGCAGGTGTCGTCGACATAAAAGAATCAAATCCAGTTTGCGTTAAAAAATGCATTGATTTCATTTACACTGGAACAGGATCTGTAGCTGATGAGAATCGGGAAGAGTTAATGCTCGTTGCTCATATGATGCAACTACAAAGTAAGAAAAGTTGTCAATATAGAACTATTTATTTAAATTTAAACTCTATGAATTGTTGGCCTGTATGTTTCTTGGTGTATGAAGTGTTTAAAAGCCAATGGCGGTTTTGGGAATTGTGTATTAGATTTTCTAAGAATGGTGTATAATAGACAGCTAAGTATGTTGAAAACCAATAGTGCCCGATATTTTTAAAAAATCAACTAAACTGTCAAATATCAGTCTTAAAATATTTTGCATTCTTTGTTTAATTTTAATCTCAGAATTTACCCACATTGAAATATCAATGATTTTGAGACTTGCCTTTATACTTTTGGGGTAGCCTATAAATAAAATTAAAAAGAAAATATTTGGTCTGGATCCGCTGTCTCACGTGCATATCTATCATTACAACCCCCAGACTAAGCACCTCACCTTGCGGATGCAATAATTTGCCATACAATGCTAAATTAAAAAGAGTTCGTTCTTTCTTAAAAATTGTAGCTTCTTGTGTATCAGTGGCCGCCTAGATAGATAGATAGTTTATTTTGAAAACTCTATAATACACACAAATTAAAAATGGAGAATTCTGGAGAGCGAGCAAAACTTTTGAAAAGTTCAAAATATAATAAATATCATGTGCCCGCTCACCAGCCATCGCTCACAGAATTACAAACTTTTAAACGAATCTTGGGCCAGAAATAAACACACAACAAGTACGCAAAAATATTGAACTTTCGGGCTTTTGTACTTAAAAAAAAATTAAGCTAATAAAGGTCAATTCAATCTGATACAAAGATAACGAACAGTGTGGAAAGCAATGTGATAAGTTGACGTGGATAGTGAAAAACAATGGAAAACTGCACTGACTGGAAATTTGTGATAAAGTGGTTAAAGATGAACTTAAATCAAAACTATGCTGGTAAATTCTGTTCAAGGAAACTCATAAAATCAGTTATCAGGAAAATCACTAATCACACGTAATCAAGGTGTGTAATTGATGAGGCCGATATTCGAAAAACGGTATGCACACAGAACAATACAAAAACACCAATACACCATTAAATTAATTTTGAAAATGTTGCAAATTGACATGGTCATATCATATTACATTACAAACTGTTTATGCATATATGGTACCAAAGAGATTGTTTGAATTCTCATTTATCTAAAGTAGAATTTGCGGTACTGGTAATACCATTTGCTGTACCTGCTTACAGTCAAATTTCAACTCCATACTCCTCTTCATATTCCTGATTCATTATTTGTCTGTTCTGTTATGTCCTTAATGTCTTTCTCATCTTCACATCGTCTGTAGTCTCCTTGTTGGTATTTCCTCAGTGCTGGTTCATTGTATCATTTTAGTCCAGCTTCAGCGCCGAAAAAACGACCACACCTGAAATTGCACCTTTTCTGTCTAAAAGAACTTTGTTCAAAGTGGAAAAATCTCAAAATAAAAACCATGAACAGCAATTAGTTTTCATGTGATATTTAATTGCTCGATTCAAGATTGTGGTCTCGGCCCCAGTATCATTTATCATTGTCTCTTTTCGAAGCTATATCCATTTCACCATTAGTTTTAGCAAATTGTGCCGTAGTATTGTACAAAAAAAAAATTTTCTCCCCAAGTAGCCGCTGCATTTAAAGAGCTTCTACTGACTGCAACTGCCTAATTTATCACTTGGCCAACACATTATCACTTCCCTCATTGAATGCTATGAATGGTTTTCATAATTTCTAATCTAAACAAGGCTCTGTAATAGCGGTTCTAGGAAAATTCACTGCAGGAAATTTTGCCGTAGAAAATCTCGCCGCAGGAATAATCGCTGCGTGAAAAATCTTCGCAAGAGCATTTTGCTGTAACACAAGTATTTGTGATAAAAACAGTTAGGTCATTGAAGTATCTTTTCATTTAAAAACAATTCGTTATTTAGGAGCATACCCCAAGCCCATAAACTTAACTGTTTTTATCACGAATATCGGTACTTGTTTTACAGCAAAATGCTCTTTCCGCGATTTTTCATTCAGTGAATTTATCTATGCGACGAAATTTCCCGCGGCGAATTTTCCGGACACGGTAATAGCATCCATGGATATGTATGGATCTACTATAGTTTGGAAGGACCAGAATCGGTGCTCCCGAAGTATGCGAACCAAGATGGCGGACATCGGAACGTAACATGGGTACGGTAACAGGTTAGGGTTAGGCGATAATTTCTTTCCAATTTTCCTTATTTTAGTCTTATTATTATTTCGAAGACTAGCCAAGAGCCTCTCGTAGTATTTATACCTAAAATTATGGCCTAACCCTAACCTAGTACACATATTACATTCCGATGTCCGCCATCTTGGTTCGCATACTTCGGGAGCCCCCCAGAATCATTCTGGTATGGCATTGCCTCAATTTATTACACCCTAGGACCTTGGTGATAAGGCGGGCAAGGGCTTTCAACTGAGTCTAGTACCAGTGAAAAAAAAAAATTTAAGTCAGGTTGAAAATCAGGTGTCCAATACGCCAATTACCAACATTTTAATATTAGTAAATACGGTAATCATTTCACACCCATTCCCTTTTTCCTCAAAGTCATTTCATATTTAAACAGGATTGTGTGATGGTATTGCTTCATTTCTTGAGACTGATCTGAGCCCAGATTCATTTGTATCTACTAAAAGAATCGCTCATATGTTTGAGTGCAAAAATTTGATAGAATGTTGCAAGACATATAGTTTGGATAACTTTTGCTCGATTGCAAATTCTTGTGATTTTAAATTCCTGGAACATGACTACATATCTTTTCTTATGGAGTCAAAGAATACTAAGGTAACTAACTACATTAACCAAATTGGTATCATTCTTATGGTTGGTCAACAAAATCCAGTACTTTTGAAATATGTTTCCATGTTTTCAATAGTGACAAGTTCTCTATCATCTTTGACAACTTTAGCACATACCGGTGAATTCAATGGCTAATTTGTAATAATATAATTTGTAATGGCCAATATTTCCTTCAGATTTTCAATTATATGTCCTGAAAGAGTTAGTAACTGAGGGGAAATGGTATTGCATGCGAAAACTCTTTATCCGATGGTGGTCAAGCATATTTAGATTAGACTATCTTTCCTAGTTTGGTAATTTACAAGTTGTTCATTCTAATAGGCTTCTGTTGCTGACAAATGCAAGGCATTGTTAATATGGACGCAACATGAACCAGACAACCGTGCCAAGTGTTTTGAGGAAATTTTCAAAACCTTTGATTTGTCCAAACTGAGATTTGAGTATGTGAAATATTTGGTGGAAAACGAGGTAATTTTTTCGATTATTCAGATTTTAATTAGTTGTTGGTGTTGGCAATTTGTTTTCAATAATTTTTCATCAAGATGAGTTGTAGCTATTATGAATAGTTTTATAGCACAAAGATATAGAGCAGGGGTCACCAACCTTTGAGAAGCTGAGGGCTACTTCCTGGGTACTGATTAAGCTAAGAGCTACCTGTTGGATTCTATTCCGAAAAGCCAATTAGCTCGATCAAACTGTACATTAACTATTTCTATCAATGGTATTTACAGCCACAATGAGACACAGATAACGTTGAAGATTTTTCATGAAATTATCAACAATTATAACAACATAGCAAATAAATTATTATCAGTAACATTATTTTCAAATTTGGTGTTTTTCAAATCAAAAGTTTTAAAATGACCACTTCAACTTCAAATGACCTAAAAATTACAATGTACCCGAATTTTTAACAAACACCCTGCACAAGCCTAAGATAAAATGGACTTAGCAGTTGCGCTTTTGAATGTAACCTTTTACAGACATATTTAATCCTGAATATCTTATTCTCAACCGGGACCAAATTTGGCCTCCCCGTCAGTTAGTGGGAAACCTGGCATTGCATGCTCTCCACCGTTATCAAAGCTATTTTAGAACATTGCTGTGGGAGACTCATGTGGTTCGTACGAATGACTTGGTTCCTGCTGCACCCAGTTAGTGACCCCTGATATAGAGCTTTAGCACTGATATCTAAAAGAATTATTACAGACTTAATCAAAGTTGGGGGTTACCACACTGTTGTGATGTGAGTTAGATAATTCGCCTAATTTATACGGTATTCATCGTTAAAAACGGTAGTTTCGAAACTCTAGATTATTTGATGAATTTTAAACTTTAGGCTTCACATAATTTCAAAATAATTGAGCATTCAATCACAGGATCAAATAATCAGATCATACCACAGCACCACCAGCAAAACTAATGTCATGACTCGCGCTCAAACATTAAATTTGATTGTATGAACAACATTTATCATCTTCTTAAAGGTTTAATATCGTATTTTCTTCATTTTAGCCACTGGTTTTCAATTCTGCTACGTGCTTGAGACCCATGGTACTCAGATCATATCAAAAGGACAATATTGAAGCTAAAGATCATGTGTGGTCAGGTAATCATTATGTTATAATTATTTTCTTTCAAGTTAAAATCATCCACTGTGGGATAGATATCAGGTTCCTTATTTAACCATTATAGCTTGTTTATATTTTTGGCTTCCATTTGCAGCAAGTTTCAACTTGTTGAATTCTATCTTTCTGTACAGTTACATTTCAGATTTTCGAGTTTTGTTAATATTTTTCTTCTTCATTAACAGGACAAAAGGAAAAAAATGGTGAGTTTTCCTGTACATTGCCCCCCATGGGTAATTTATGTGATTTCCTTGAATGTTGAATATTTCTTTGGTTTAGTAATTGCAGTATTTGACAAAACTTCCAAATCGATTCAAGCGTTTGATCCGGTGCAAAAGAAGTGGACAAAAATGCAGGTTTGACTTTTCACATTCTAAGATTTTTTAAACGTATTTGATTTAAAGCAGAGGTGTGCAACTTGCGGCATGCGGGCAAAATGCGGCCCGCAAGAAAAAGGTTGCGGTCCGCGGAGGAGTGCCAGTTTTGAATGGTATTCAGTCTGCGGAACTAGTTTAATCTGGTACATGAGAGTAATTCCTATCCCTTTGCATTGCAAAGCCTATACCTGAATCCAATTTATTATCTATGCCTATGATGTTACAAGTCATGTCATAAGATCAATAACGAAAAATTTTGTGTTATGTTATAAAAGGCGAGGCTCGCTGTTTCACCTAGATGTTTGTATCTGGCCCCTTCCGTATTAAAGGTTGTATACCCCTGATTTAAAGTAATACATGTCTGAATCTTACAGAAATATAATCACATTCCAACTTTTTTTTGTAGGGTAGGTAAAATGAAATTGTCTGACATATTGGTCCATTATTTCTCAAGACTTAGCACAGAATCTTATAATATTCTAAAATGCTTTTCGGTTAATACTGAATAGAAAATGAATTTTATATGAAACCCAAAGTACTTGTACGGTATTTTCACACATTTATGGTCATGCTTCGCATACAGAAATTATTAGCATGAATCTGTTTTGCACAGTGTTTATTGAAAGATCGTTTTTTTAGACAATTTTTGATGAAATTGCATCGAAGCAGTTTGTCGCTGTGGTTTTGGAAAGTGACTTGTACATTCTGGGACGTGATGGCTCATGCTTCGTTTTGAGCAACTATTCCGAGCCCTCAACTGTCTGGAGAAAACTTTCTAACCGTAAACACACCGGAAGATTGCAAGCAGTGGCATTTCAAGGTGAAGATGTGTAATGTTTTAGTTTGATCAGTTTTGCTGTTTGTTCATGTTTGCCTTGAAATGTACGTATTCCATATTGTAGTTGTGAATTGCAAACAATGCAATGCCTAGAATGTCCAGGCTAATATATATCTGACTCCATCTCATTGTCATTTGTATATTTACTCCTTCTGTGGGAATTGTACCACAATGTTCAAAAGCTCAAAGCCCGAGTTAAAGAGTGTCCCATTCAGTTATTTGAATTCATGTATTATGAATGCTTCTAACCATGGTTGAACCCCTCCAGAGAGTAACCCATTGTGTTTCTTTCAATTACATTTTATGTCACAATATGAGATTGTTCTATTGGTACTTATATGCCTTATGTTTTGAAGCGCATTTGAAGTTCTGGCAACTTTGTTTTTATTGTGAATTAATTTTTTCACTATTTTGTATCTTATTTTAACTTTCAAGATGCCAAGTCAAGCAATAAGCAAAAGTCATATTTTTTCATTCAAAAATTTATGTTAAAAAATATGTTAATATAAATTGTTGATATTGACTTTGAGTTTTGCTGTTTTTCAGGGTCACTTTACGCTCTCGACGACTCTTCCGATACTAGTATTGCAGTTGAAAAACTAACCCCTTCAGAAGGATTGTGGTCACAGTTTACCAATAAAACTGTGGCTTCACGAGAATGTGCAGTCACTGCTACCAGAGGTAGTTCCAACATTTTGTACAATATTGAAATTTGAAAGAATATCATAAACTTGTGTATTTTTTTCAAATCTTACACTACTGAAAAAAAAAATTCCGTTCTGTGTTAGAATTACTTATGCTAACTATTCCATCGTGATGGAAGAATGCCATGATAAAATACGTTATTTCTTTACAGAGTTCATTTATTGCTTCGGAGGTTACAATGGGAGTACAGTTTTATTGAACAGTTTGAAACTTGATCCATGCGTTCCAAAGTGGCACGCTTTGCCTGATCTACCGTCAAAAAGATGTGGTGCTTGTATATCTGAAGTTTCTGGAAAAATGTTTGTAATGGGTATGCAAATATGTGAACTTCAATTCCTTAGAATAATTAGTAAAATATCATAATTTGCATGTTAATGATGCATTTTCTGCATTATATCATCAAAACGATACTATAACTATTTTTGTACAGTCCACTTGAGTTTTAAAATATCTGGAAACTTGACCTAGGGTAGGTCTTTATCAACAACTTGTCATGGGAAATAGAAGTATCTAAAATAGTTAAATAAACCTTTTGTCGCTCGCAGTCCAAAATTACGGGTTTCAAATCTTGCCGAATCACACATATATTTTAGGAAGGTCAAAAATAGAACAGGTGGCTGATGAATCACTTTTTTACACAGATCAGAAGTTGAAATTTTAGATTTTAAATAGCGAGCGATCACTGCGACGACTCGTGGACTCAAGTCGTGTTATTAGGTACAAAATTTACAAATGACATTTACTGTGACACTTGTTGTTGCATAACGCTTGATAACTTTTTGACATCAGTTGACGCACTGGATGAAGCCAAGATTAGAACACATCCTAAATGATTATCACTATTTCTAGCTCTCCGCTTGTTATTTGTAATTTCATTTTCGGAAATAACTGTTCACACGCGTATGTACTTCCAGGCATTGATGTGAATTATTTTGCATGGTTTGTCAGATTCGAATAGAGATTTCCTCCAGGAAATTACTTTACAAAAATTAAGCAATTACACATTTCTCGAATAAAAAATAGATTTTATTTCCTCATTGCATTGCATCTCAAGAAATTTGCAGCCACCATTTTGTCTCTAACTTTTAGTGAAGCATCGAGGCAGCGCTGGATTAACCATTAAACAATATAAGCACGTGCTTAGGGCACCAAGCAACGGGGGGCACCACAGAGATTTTTATAGCAAAACTTCCGATAGTCCATATGTGTCAATAAAATTTACGAGTTGGTCACACGCCTCAGACTTCAAGTATCATGCTAACTTCTACTATTAATGCTTGTAGGTTTGCTAACTATCTCTAAAAAAAAGGTAAAATAAGCATAATTTGGCCTGCAATTAGTAATATCTCAACAGCGAAAGGTGCTCCCGAAGTATTCGTGTCAAGATTCCAAATTCGATTCTTCGATCGCTTGGAATTGGGCATTTTGATGCCACTGCTACCGTTGCGGTAGGACAATAGGAGTTGTATGGAACTAGTTCGTGTCAATTTTTAGAGGTATGATTTTAAATTCACTCAACATCAGACCCGATCGACTACTCGAATCGTGGCAGTCGATCGCGATCGATGTGTTGGCCACCACTGGTTTATTATATAAATATTTTGAATGACACATTTGGGGGCACCAAAATATTAAGTGTCTAGGGCACCAAATGGGCATGATCCGGCCCTGCATCGAGGGCCGGATTTTTTTACTCCACGAGCCGGATATGACCCGTGGGCTGTAGGTTTCTGAACCCTGGTCTACGCAATGGGTGAGCAAACAGCTGTACGGGACTAATATTTGTGTGTTTCACAAAAGCCTCAAGCAAATACTTGAAAGAAACTGACGTACTTTCCAATCAGTCAAAAATAGAATGAAAATAGGAAGGGATTCATTATCTACAAGTATTATTTGTAACAATTGCCCACTCACTCTATGCTTTCAATCGTTTCCTAGCAAGATACAAGTTTTTATCGTTCAATTGCCATGTTAGTTATGATTTTTGTGGCGTCATTTTGAAATAAAAATATTTCTATCTAACTTCAAACATAATGGAGCACAGCATAATATTTAATTTAGTTAGAATTTTTATTGTAAAGTTAAAAGATATCCCAACCTGAATTTAATTTTATCAGGAGGAACGCCTTCTCCAGGTTATCTAGACACAGTGGATTACTTGGATTTGATGACGGAAACTTGGGTCACCGCAACAAATATGAATCAAGCTAGATATAATTTCAGTAGTTGTGAATTCTCAAGCAGAATTTATGTATGTGGAGGGTAAGTGCATTATTATTACCGTTGTGAACACATTTGTCAACGTACCACTGATAACCCTACCCTGGTCGATCACGCTTTCCTCTTCCATCAAGTCTGTGGATCGTGAACAAATGGCTTATAACTATTTCTATTTTCTGTGGCCTGTATGGAATGGTAACTCGACGAAAGGCCATAGTTTTCAGTATGATTAGGCAGTCATATGTGTTTTTCATCTCCCATAGGATAAGTTTAACAATGGCTCGCTTTTAATTGCATGGATTATTTATTATACAGTCATATGTTTGTATTGTGATATATAGTTTTGATAGATATCGTATATTAGTTATGTCATGGTTTAAAGTGATTATTGCACTATTTTATAAATGTACTTATGGTAACTCTTGAATTGCCTGAAAAACTGTATTGAAAATCTCTACTTCGATACCAACTGATTTTTAATGGTTGTGGATTGCAGCGATGTTGAATCCCACCTCAATCAAAGAATAATCAACTTCATTAGGCTAATGACAATGCAAATGAAACCAAATCAAACACAAAACTTACTTCTAGTGCCTTTTAGGCTAATTGTTTTCATGGTATTGAACGTGAGACCAAATCACCATTTTATGATATTGCACATATATGTGTTTTGGACTAATTTAGTCTTTGGCATGCATCCTGTGGCCAAGATAAACATATCTCCTATACGTTTTATCATTGCATACGAATTAACGAACGTGTGCTATCATTTTAGCTCAGTTGTTAGAAGATCATTATCGGTAATTCTCTCCCCCTTTTTTTGAGATAATATTTGTAAACAAATTGTTTCGTAGTTGGCAAAGTCTTTGTAAAATTATTTTCCATATTGGAAATTCTATAGACATGACGAGAGCAGCAAGTCCGGCGCCACTTTTTAGGCAGCTAAATATAAAAACATGTGACCACTTTTGCTGTTTCACATTACATGCACTTAGACTTCTGACACAATTTGCATTTCGCCAATTATGAATAAAATGTTCTTTATTTTGAATACAGATCAAAATCAAGCTATGATATCGAAGAATACGATCCTCTTCAAAACTCTTGGAAAGTGATTGGAACGACTTCGGGAAAATAAATTATCAATGAAGCATCTATTGCCCTATGCTTATATACTTGACTGTGGAGACTTGAAAACAGTTGTGTCAATTTGTAGAAACTGAATAACATCGAAACTCCATTATTTGATAAAATGCAAATTAGATTAAGATTAGAAAAATAGTTTTGAGATTATGGAATTATGTTGACCCTTATTTTTATATTATAATACAAAAATGTTTGAATGAAACCTGATGGCAATACTAGATTTAAAAAAATATTTAATTATATTAGAAATTGGTATGAATAATCAAAACGAAAGAGGCAGAAGAAGCAGGAAATATGTTGTTGTAATAAATTCATTTTTTTCTTGTTTTTCAATATTTGTGTGTTTGGTTCGAAACTAGTGCAAAAATACAAATTCAGACCTATTGTATTTGATTAAATCATCATTTCGAAAGTGAACAATTTCAACTAATTCTATGTATATATATATTCACTGCACCAATGTTTATGTGCCTTCATGAATCAATCAATATCCATTATTGATTACGTGGCATATTCCTGTACACTTAATTAAAGGCTTTCGGTTTATATAATTTAAAATAAGTTAGGCACAGTAATTTTTTGAGAAACTTTTTGCATTTTTTTCGAATTTGTATGGGCTATCATTATGGTGAGCCAATGCTAATGTTCTGTCTTGAAAAGCATATTCATGCTGTGTTGTGTGCACTCAGGCCTATAGGCTAGGTGTGTACATATGAGAGAAGTTTGGCGTTCTGCCAAACTTTTACAGATAGATCAGTGGTTCCCAACTTTTTATGGATCGTGGCCCCCTTCCGGAGGCTTTTAGCACTCTTGACCCCCCTGTTTATCATTCCATTGGTATTTATAGTCTTATTTTGATTGGTAGATTCCAAAATTCATTATACTCAAACAATTCATGCTCAACAAAGTGAAGTTTAGAAGCATTGCAGAAGGAAATTTCTAAAATTGTGTTGTATTACTTTCACAAAATAGCCACTATGATTCTCGCTACAGTATCGTTGCAGTCATTTTGTGGGGATCCACTAACACGAAGGCAGGGTAAAAGAGTATAAAATAGTCGCACTGTATTACAAGCTGCCACACCAAATATCTGAATACTTTTAATGCTGCATATCATTAATTTTGAATTGTGCTCAAAACTAAATATGTAGTTCCATCATCGCTTCACTTGTGATTTTTTATTTTATTACACTTCATCATATTATTCTGGCAACTAAAAAAATTGTTCTTAGTAATTGGTAAAAATGCCAAGACAGGCTAAGCATTATTCAATATGATAAAACTTTTTCACGATGGCTGTGTATTATCTTTGTAATGATTTTTATCTTATCTTTCACTAACTTTGCTTAAAAATTTTAATTTGTAGTATTCCAAACATTTCTATTTCTTAGGAGCTTTTTCTTTCCATGTAAACCTTCAATTAAAATTTCTGCAGCCTATTTAGGATTTAACCAATCAAATATAGTTGGACGTTGCCCATAAACTTCTCACACTTTCTATCTTAAAATAGTTTTATGAAAGTCTTTGCTATTGGTGCTCTTCCATTGACAAGTAACATACATGCCCCAAGTGGATTTTAACATAATTAAGTACTTTAAAATATTAATGGAATAATAATATATTTTAATCATTCCTATAACATTCTGGTTTCATTTATGTTTCAATCTATCACTTTTTATATTTATGGTAATGTACATTGTCTGATTATGTACTCCTAATTTTTTCACATTCTAAAGTTATACTACTCATTCAAATTTGGCAATTTCATTAATGGCCTACAATCAAACTTAGTTATGGCATAGTTATAGTATACATGACTTTCTGTGCTATATCCCATCAGTTCAAAATTCCTAGATATTGGATTTATAATTCCATATTGTCAAGATCCTTATATATATTGGTTTTGAGTAGTTGAGTCGGCTATGGCTGTGTAAGTAAATCAATTTCTAACATTTTTAAAATTTAATTTTCAACATGACTATACCAAGTTGAATCTCTAAAATGTATAAATTCTCCTACTTCTGCATCACATGTTTTACTTTATTCGCATGGATGTAAAATGGCTCCTATCACGGTGGATTATGGTGGTTATAATTTAAAACTTGTCTTGTGTTTGTTCCACTGATTTATTGCAGATAGCTTTGGCTTCATTTGGTATCTTATGAAAAACATTACTTGAAAATGCTGGCTGTAATTTCAACCCCCCTATATACCAATGCTTGTGTAATGTGTATATTCTCATTTTCAGATTGTTGTTAAAATTTTGCAGTTACTCAGCCTTTAGATTTTACTATTTCAACATTAAAAATGGAAGTGGAGAAAACAATCCCAATGAATAAGAATGCTCATAATGCTGAGTTATTGGATAATTTAAAACCCTGTTATTCCGGGATGAGACTTATTATAAATATAAATATGGCTCTAATATGATGGGTCAGTAAGAGTTAACATTCTTTATGTACACGTTATTATGGACTTAACTCAAAACAAAACGAATAAGACATTTTCGCGCCTTTTTCAAGCATGATATAGGCTTGTCCGAGTGTTTTTGCACCCGGGTTGTGCGTCACTCCGTTTTGGCATATTTCCAATTTTACGCGTTTTATATCTGTAAATATTTGAAAGCTAAGAAACATACAAAGGAATACGTTATTACTTGAAAGAAAGTAATTTGCGCGGCCGAGCGCTCATTTTCCTCGCGTAAACACGCACTAATAATTACCCGCACAATAATAAACAAACAAGAACTGCGTTGACTTCACAAATATACCGCTTCGTTACTCGGCAGCTGTTTGCGCTACACCATTGCCTGTGATATCATTTTGTTAGGAATACAAACAGCGAAACGACTATTAAGCTTGCGAGAGAGTGCCGTTATCATAAGTAACGGTTCAACGGCCATAAAGGAGAGAGGTTCGAATATTTGTTTACTATCGTCGATGAATTTTCTCACGTACGCAAAATTTCGTACATGGAGCGGTCCATTAGCGACCTCCTGCGTATAGAAAACAATAATACGATTCAAACAAGCCTTTAATGGCCTTTCAAGCCATCTTGGTTAGATGACAAATGCTAATTAAAAATATTTTAAAAATTTGACTAGGGAGTGGCGGGATAGGGAGGTTTTAAACAGGTTTATAGTTTTATGTTGTGTTTCGAAGATTTAATTAAGTCAAATCAACTGTGAAAAATTGGAAACTCAAAATTTGACAAGCAATTCTTAATTGGCAACAGATTTGACAATTTACATAATTTATAGAAAACCATCTTCGGCCTGTTCCAGTCCTTCATAGTTTTCTGTTGAAAATGTTTAGTCAACTCCATACACTTTAGTTTCCATCAAATTTTTTTTCAAATATATCTTTGTGAAAGTGTTCTTCATGGCTCTGGAGTTGCAGATAAGTCCAAGTTTGACCTACCGTCAAATGCTCAACTTCGAACGAAATGCCCTTACTTTTAATAATAACTCAAGCACAACCATTTAGTGTCCAACCGTTCATTAAAGTGCTCAACTTCGGACAAAATGACTTTATTTTTTATTGACACCTCTGGCTAAGCCATTTATTGTCTAAACACAACCAAAATTGCTCAACAAAGTATTAACTTAGTACTGAACGTTTCTTAATAGTTTGAGGTTTATTGGGACATTTTACTATTGGAATAATTCTATTTATTTGTCATTCAACTTTTATCCTTCAATGCCGTAACTTTGTATCACCATTTACGCCACCGCACATGTCACAATCACACCGGCATGTGAATACTAGTTGTTCCTTTGACACCGCAACATTTTCATGTCGCAATGAATATAATTCTTTGAAATTTCCACATCCTACGATTACTTGGTTCCTATTCCTCATCATTTGAAAGATTTCCATAATGTCCAATAAGCCACATAGGACATTAATCCTCACTAAATTTTTACTAATTTCACTAGTTTTTATAATCATGAAATTGAACTGGCAGGACTTAAGCTCATTTTTCTTCCATGTAGTTTTTTTTTTTCAGAATGATGGAGAACAAAATGTTTTGTGATTTTCTCATAAAAGCTGGATCTGAAGGGATGCCAGTTCATAAAAATATAATTCCAGCTGGATCCGATTAATTCAAGGCAATGCTGTCTCATGATGTAAGTATGTATATGTACTTTAGCGTATTGTTACTTGCACATGAAAAAAAGATTTGAATATTTGAATACATCTGAAATTAGATGTTTAGGCCTACATCCTGGTGGTTGAAGCGGTAAACTTAGCTGTGTTAGTATCACAAATTACACATCTCGGTTTAAATCACCCGAAATTGGGTAGGCAATTCCAATCCAAAAAGATTTTGGTCACAAACAAAGTACGGTAACTTCTTACATATTGTGAAGTATCATTTTTTTCGATTCAAGACTGAACATGCGTTACAATATGCAGTGAATAGTATTTTGCCCTTTTGAAAAATTATTTTCATTTTTTGATACAAATCTGATAGAAAGTTAATAAATCAAATTTATTTGTTGCTGGCTGTTTGCCTAACACGCTACCACGACTGACAGTGGCAGTTCGGATTTCAGTGAGTTTGAAACAAGTGCTAGTGCTACTACTGCTGCCAGTGCTACTGCTCACTGTCGTATCAATAGCCTGTCTATTTACTGTTTAAAAAACTTTTCATATTTTATGAAAGTTAATTTGTGTAACTTCTCAAACAAAAGAAAGCCAGGCAGGTGTCGTTGACATGAAGGAATCAAATCCAGTTTGTGTTAAAAATGCATTGATTTCATTTACATTGAACCGTAAATGTAGCTGATGAGAATCGGGAAGAGTTGATTCTCGTTGCGCATATGATGCAATTGCAAAGTAGGAAACAATTATCGATATAAAACTATTCAGAATATTTGATATTGCTAAATTTTGGCCTGCTATTTTTCCTGATACGTGGAGTATATAAAGCCTGTGGCGGTGTCAGGGGTTGCATATTGTATTATTCAAAATTCCTATAATAGACAGCCTTGTAATATTGAAATGTTGCTGTTGAACTATTTTTTGTGGGACGAGGGTTGGCTTCCTAAAGAATGAATGTTTAAAACCGAAATTGCGCTCTGCACTCTTTTGTCTAAACTCCCACCTCAAAATTAAACCACATTGACATATTATTATTTAGGATTTAAAAGACTACTTAGTAAAATTTCTAGACGGAAGTATATCAGCAGTGGATGTTGAATAGCTCAGGTTCCAATCCCAGGCTAACTACATCACCATGGATTTAATAATTTGCCGTACGAAATGAAACTAAAAATATTTTGTTTTTTTCCCAAAGAAATAGAAGCTTTTTGTGTATAAGTGGCTGCATTAAAAGAGCTTTTGAAAAATCTCATTATTAAATCTCAAAATAAAAATCACAAACAGCAATTATTTTTTTTTTGTAATATTTATATAGCTACACAATTTATTTAAAGAAGATTGTGCTCTTAGCCTCAGTAACGTTTATCATTGTAGTGTCTCTTCTTGAAGTTGCTTCCGGAACAATCAATATACTCAGCAATATGTGTCTTGGCACTGCACTGCTTGGTAAGGAGTGCCTATATGTATCTTTTCGGTTTGGCATTTCGTTTATCAATTTATTACACTCTAGGTGAGGTGGCGGGCATGGGATTCTATCCAGAGATTTTAACCTGCGAGTCCATCATAGCAAAGTCTAACACTTTAACCACTAAGCCACTGAGTTATGAACTTCTATAATTCAAGTCAGGTTTTCCGATCACAAGTGTCCAATACTCCAATTAATAATATATTAATATTAGTAAATAATTATTTGCCATTTTCCTTCAATTCATTTCATATTCAACAAGATTGTGTGATGGCATTGCTACATTTCTTGAGAATGATCTGAGAGCAGATTCATCGATCGCGATTATCACACGCGAAAGAATTGCTCGTGTCCGCCGTAAGGTACGGTAGTTTGCGTATCCCAGTGGTCGGCAAAATACGGCCGGAGTAAATTAATCTGGCCCGGGACGCTTCACTGAATGGATCTTTCCCCTACCTTTGATCCCGGAAAATTCTTCCTATACTTCACCATTTTCAAATTTTCGGTGCTTATTTTAAAGTGGTTTTGCGAGTTGTCGCCTGTAAAATGGGGTATTTGTTTCAAACTATCATTCTAATTCATACCATTCAACAATCTTTTTTTTTTTTTAATTACCGGTAAAGAATTTTAGTCTAGTTTATCACAGCTATTTCTACTCTAATTTTTGATTACTGCAATTGAACTGAAACTCCTAGGAAGACGAAGTGATCATTGAATTATTTGATTTATATTTAAATTTCCGAAACACAACTAAAAACAAACGAATATGATTCAAAAACCGAAAAATTGAGGTAATGTTTACGACCACGCCTGAAAATCTGTCTGAGCGAGATTGTTACGTTTATTTTTGCATCTGCTGATTGGCCAATGTCACGAAGTAAACAAGGTAGTCTATGCCCTATAATGGAAACATTTATTATACAGACAAAATGGCGTTTTGACGATGAATTAATTTTATTTACAAGCTACGCTCGAGGAGTACAATTTTGCGTTTTACTGAATTTATCGTGAGACACGTTTATACTAAATTATATTATATCCTAACAACTTAGTGAACAGCTACTCGTTTAACAAGCCTACAATTCAATTATATTTAGACAAATTAAAATTAGACACGCACAAAAGTTGCTGCTGAGTGCAGGGGTTCAATATCGCAGTAAATAATCAAATATATATATTGCAATGCAATAAGGAAATAAAATTCATATTCTATTCGAGAGATTCATCACTGCCTAATTTTTGTAAGAATGTATCTTCTTAAGGAAAATTTTTATCAAAATATTACAAACCATGCGAAAATATTCACTTCGATGTTTGAAAGTACATATTCGTGCGAACAATTATTTTCAAAAATGAACATTGCAATGAACTAGGATTAGTGATGCCCATTCAGAAAATGTTCTTTGGCGTCGTAAAGCTATTAAGCGTGATGCAGCAACAAGACAGTGTCACATCAAATGTCATTGTAATAGTTTTTTAAAAAGACGGCTGAGTTGAGTTCATAAATT